TTGATTTTTTTTGTGTGTGTATGTCACACAGAACATCCCAAACCATCTTATTCAACTATACACCCACTTCCCAGATGACACCCTCCCATAGTCTCCCTCCCCCGACTAGAGCCCTTATGCTCTGATATGCCTGCTACTGCCTGCTGTGTCGTCGGCACCCCCAGCCATTCCCCACTACTTGTCCATCTGGCGAATCTAGTCAGTCTATCTAGAGGACTTTGTTTTAGGAAGGTCAGCTGTTCCTCATCTGGCAGCAATCAGCTGTCAACTGTCCTTCAGATAAGATTGGGGTGTGCTGTTCATTTTCCCAGTTCTATGCTGGGTTACTATCTGGGAGTCCTTGGGATACCATGGCCAACAACTCAAAAAAAGATATTGCCTGTCTGGCATTGTTGCTTGTTATGTAGCCTTTAGCTATGCATATGGACTCTTAAGAAACTATATTGGTCCCTTTAATATTTGGTTATACTTACCTTTTGGATGTTTAAGGCCATACAGTTGGCCCTGATAAACCAATTTATTTTTCCTCTTAGGTTGTTTGAGGGCCTGTTCCTCAGGGGGTCACATGGGCTTGGGAAGAGCACCTGGCTCCTTTCTTTTACCGGTTCTGCCTATGTGAGGATAAGTCAAAGGTCCTGCTCGACCATGGTTGGCTTTGCTTGGAAACATGGAGGAAGTGATTCCTCTGTGTTGACCCTCCTCTTTGTAGACCGGACACTGGTTCAAGTCCATCTGGTGGGGTCTCCTCGGCCTTCTTGATCAAGAGGACAGGTGACCCACCACCATTACAGGACATTTTGAGAGAGATGCTCATAGGCCATGGAACTAGTCGACCCAGGAAGGCAAGGAGCGAAAACTGTCCTTTATGTCCCTCTGACCAAATTATTATAGGCCTCAAAGTATGTCTGTTAAACATCCAAGAAGGTTAGTTCCACCAGTCTGTTATTTTTAATTACTGTGTGACATATAGATAAATCTTGGGCAAAGACCAATTATTCTCATATAAACCTTACCTAGACATATATTTCTTGATCTGCTCTGTATAATTTGTCAGTAGGTTGTAGGGGTAATAGGGTTTCCTCTGGTTTTCAAAACTAGCTAGGCATTATTTATCTCTCACATTGTCTCACCCCTCCACCATAGTTTTCACACTTTAAGGTGCCATATTTCCCTCCTTTCTCCCTTAATTATACCCTTCTCCTGTGGTCCTACCTCTCTTGAGCTCCTTCTTTCCCTTTATCCCCTAGGTTCCTGGTATACCCTTCCCTCCTCCCTCCCTTAAACTAACCCAATTTTTACACATATCTCCCTTATTATGGCCTGTTTCTTACTATTCTTCTCTTTCAGGTTATTTCTTTTCCTTTACCTCCCTGTTTACTTTCCATTATCCTGGTTTCTGTAGTTATGTCTGTTTGCATACTTATTTATCAGAGTCTTGTTCTAGGATCCACATATGAGGGAGGACATATTTCGATTTTTTTTCTGAGTCTGTTATTTCACTTAGTATAACACTTCCATCCATTTACCTGCAAATTTCATGATTTTATCTTTCTTTACTGCTTAGTAAAACTCCATCATATAAATGAACCACATTATCATTATTTACTTGTCAGTTGAGGGATACTTAGGTTGCTTCCATCTCTTAGCTATTGTGAAAAGAGCAGCAACAAACATGGATGTACACGTGTCTCTGCAATAGGATGAGTTCTTTGGGTATATGCCAAGGAGTGGTATAACTGGGTCAAATGGTAGGTTCTTTTTCAGTTTTTTTTAAAAGACTAAAATGAATTAAAAACATTCAAGTTGGGCTAGGAGAATAGCTCAGTTAGTAAAGGGCTAGACTGGAGCTGAATCCCCTAAGCCAAGTTAAACAAACAAAAAAGGAAACTAGGTGTGGTGGCACATGTGCTGGGAAGGCAGAGATAGGCAGACCCCGAGGCTCCCTAGTCAGTCAGCCTAACCTACTTGGTGAGTTCCAGGCCAGGGAAAAGACCCTGTCTCAAAAAGAAAAGGTGGGTTGTGCCTGTGGAATGATGCACAAGGTCATCCTCTGGTGTCCACATACACATACCTGCATACACATATGTGCCCCCCCCCACAAACATGCAAAGTGACAAGTATACTTTTCATACCAAGGATACAGTATAGGCCAGTATTGCTTAGTACATTACTTGACTCCATATTTTCTTTCAAGATTCTCTTGATCCTGCAGTGCCAGAGTCAGCAGGCACTTGCGACATGTCTCTCTGCTTGGTGACACCAGGTCAGAGAAACCTAATACGTTTTATAAGATTTGGAAATTAACTGATCTAAATCTGTTTGTTTGGTTTGTTTACTTCTGATATTATACAGAAGTCTAAAGGAGGTCAGAATCAGTCCAAGTACAGGGCATAACCAGCTACACAGATCAAATTTGTGCAGTTTGGGGCTATCATTACCTGACCCAAACTAATGGAGCATTCAATTCCTGCATCTCTGGGTGAAACATCACATCAATCTCAGACACAGAAGAAACACTGGCAGTGTTTTGAATGAGAAATACCTCCCATAGGCTCAGGTATTTGAACACGTAGTCCCCAGTTGGCAGTGCGATTTGGGGAGAATTAAGAGGTGTGGCCTTATTAGAGGAAGTATGTCACTGGGGACCAGCTTTGAGAGTTCATAGCCTTGCTACACTTCCAGGTTTCTCCTTCTGCTTCCTGTTTATGGTTTCCTGTTTGTGATCTCTCAGCTTCCTGCTCTGGCCGCCTGCTGCCACAAGTCCCTCACCTTCTGTGCCCCCTCCCCCCTCCCTCAAAATAAACTCTTCCTTCCATAGTCACTTTTGGACATGGTGTTTTATCACAGCAATAGAAAAATAACTAATTTTAGAAGTGAACTTGGAACCCAAAAGATATAGATTACTGGATATTATTATAGAACTTGGGTTGACCAAGTAATAATACTCATTTCACTTTGGTTAAGGAAAGTCCTATAAATAATGAAATATAACTATGATATTTGGTAGGGGAACATCACAGCCTTGTCAACAAAGCTGTGTCAATTTAGAATGCCTTCCTTCCTCCTTGACAAACACATTGCACTGGGCACATCTCCTGATGGAAACTGACTAGGAAATAAAGACGTGTGTACTGGTTTTGTGGGGTCCCAAGAAGGTACCCAGATATTTATGACAGTGACATCATGCCTGACTTCTCTCAACGTTCCTGAAGACAAAAAAGCATGTATCCTGAGTCTAGATCCTCATATCTCCACATTCTCTAAAAGTCTCTGGGTCCTACTGAGGTTGAAGACCAGCAGGCAGCTGCAGGAAAAGGAGAAATGGTTTCATGGGGATAAGGGAGGTTTGCAGAACTGAATGACAGTATAAAACAACACGATCTTCCATGGTTTCTAAATATAGACCTGACAGAAGATACAAAAAAGATGGACTTGGGTTGAAAAAATTCACCATCTTTTTTAAAGATTTTATATTTTTAAGATTTATTTTTATTTTTATTCACATGTGTGTGTGTGTGTGTGTGTGTGTGTGTGTGCACGCGCATGCTATGGGGAGGGAGGCTGCCTGTGGAAGTCAGAAAATGGTATCAGATTCCCTCTGGAAATGGAGTTACAGTGGTGTGAGCCACCCGAAGTGGGTTCTGGGAATTGAACTTGTGTCCTCTGGAAGAGTAGTATGAACTCTTAAGTGCTCAGCAATCTCTCTAATACCACCCCCCGCTTTTTGAGACAGGGTCTCACTATGTAACTCTGGCTAGCCTGGAACTCAATATATAGACCAGACTGGCCTTGAACTCACAGAGAGCCACCTGCTTCTGCCTCCTGAGTGCTAGGATTAAAGGTATTCACCACCATGCCTGGCCAGCCCTTTAAAAAAATATTTGTAATTGTGTGTGTATCTGTGTCTATGTGTGTCTGTGTGTGGATTTGTGTACATGAGTACAGGTGCCCTCAGAGGCCAGGAGACATCAGATTCCCTAGAGCTGGAGTTACAGGTGGTTCTGAGTCACCCAGTGTAGATGCTGGGAATAAAACTCAGGTCCTCTGCAAGAGCAGTACCTGCTGTTAACCACTGAGCCATCTCTCCAGCCCCCTCAAACCATCTCTTAATGAGACTAGGCCAAAATTAGAATGGGCTGTATCAGAGGGCAGTGAGTTCTTAGTCAGTGATGTGTCCAGGCTAAGTTAAGTTATCTAAGCATATATATCACAAATAGACCATCAAACAGACATGAATTAATTGTCAGAAGGAAATTATAAACTATCAATGAAGCAAACAATAAGGGAGTTTTCCTCCAATTTCTGCCCTATTTCTTTGAGAACACAGATAGGTAGGTGGCCAGTGAGCTGCAGGTCAGCATTCTGTGAGGGAGTGCCACCCAAAGTTGGAGCAGGAGCCTGGGTAGGCGTTCTGGTAATTCTGTCTCCTCCAATGCCGGGGCTACTCCTAAGATGTTAAAGACATGTTTGTTGCTTTCATAAAACTTTCTCAGCCCTCTACATCCTTGTCTCCTATGGAAAGCATCCCTAGATAGGGTAGATGGTCACTTCATAGTAAAGGAGTTCCAAGGATCACCCCAAGGGGTGACTAGCTGAATCAGGTCACTTTCAAAATATCTATTCATTTTGGCTTCACGGGACTCTTTAACTACCACAGGGCCTACTTCCAAGAGACTGGTTCTTCTATGGGATATGTAGGCGAAACAGGTCCAAGCACTTCCCTGGGATGCATTTCTTTCCTTTTGAAAACTAGGCAGAGCTGAGCACTGTAGAAAAGGCTCCAGTTAATCTAGAATCCCAGAAAAGCCCCAACAACTAGGTCTCACAGCAGGTATGACCAATCAGATCATACAAAGACCACCAGAGCAGCGATAAACCTCCCCATGTGTGACACTGACCTTCCCACAGTAGCTAGAGGATGTCTCTGTTTCTTCTTCAACATGGAGCCAGTCAAAGTTATTGACTCTCTTTGTTACTGTTTGGTTCGTATTTTATTTTATTTTATTTTATTTTATTTTATTTTATTTTTGAGGCAGGGTCTCAGTACATAGTCTTGGCTGACCTTGAACTTACAATCTTCCTGCCCTTGGCCCCAAAGTGCTTGGATCATAGGCGTGGGCCACCACACTCGCCATTGATTCATTCGTCTGTCTCTGTGCATGTGTGAATGTGTGTGTCTCTGTGTTGTGCATACACAAGTGTGTGGGGGGGTGGCTATGCCTATGCACACATGTGTGGAGATCAGAAGATGTTGACTGTCCTGCTCTATGACTCTCCACAATTCCCTTGCAACAGGGTCTGTCACTGAACCTGGAGCTAGGCGGACAGCCAACAAGTCCCAGCCATCCTATTCTTCTGCCCTCCACAGCACTGGGGGTGCAGGTGAGTACACAGCCACACCAGGCTTTTTACATGGGTGCCTGGGACTTGAACTCAGGTCCTTGTGTTTGTGCAGCAAGCACTCTTAATCACTGAGCCATCTCCCCACCCATGACTCACTTGAAAAAAAAAAAGACTTTTTGTGAAGTGTGGATTGCATGTGTCATGGTGCAAGTGTGGAAGTCAGAGGACAACTTTTGAGTTGATGCTATCCTTTCACCTTGTTTTTGAGGCAAGGACTCTCTCAGCTGCACTACCAGGATGAGATTCTAGCTGACTTCCCGCCTCCACCTCCCATCTTGCCATAGGAGTGCTGCATTTACAAATGTATGGCACCTCATGCGGCTTTTTATATGGGTTCTGGGGATCACACTCAGGTCACCAGGCTTGTACAACAAGCACTTTTACCATCCGAGTCAGCTCTTTAGTCAATAATTCACTTTTATCAGACATAATATGGTAGGAATAAGTGATTTTCTGTCATTCAAAGCTTATTCATAAAAGCTAATAGAGCTTCTAATGGGCACATTCATATTTCATATTCTGTGTGTGTGTGTGTGTGTGTGTGTGTGTGTGCGTGCGTGTGTGTCTTTCTCTCTCTCATCAGCATAGTAGTGGATCTCATCGGTGTGTGTGTATGTGTGTGTGTGTGTGTGTGTGTGTGTGTGCGTGTGTGTCTTTCTCTCTCTCATCAGCATAGTAGTGGATCTCATCAGCATAGTAGTGGATTTGTACTGGAATTAAATTTCCACAAGGCAATCTGTCTATAATATATCCCTGACGCCTGACGCATAGAAGACATTTGATAAATTTGTTGGATGACAGATAACTGGATAGGCAGATGAGTGGATAGATGGAAGGAAGGCTATGTGGTTTTTAAGTAAATCCTGTATAAGATTATGGAGTAAATGGTGGTTCCCTTCAGCTGGCCAAGACCAAAGGTATGTCCATACTTAAAACAAATTGGAAGCTGAGCATGGTGGCACATGCCTTTAATCCCAGCACATGGAAGGCAGAGGCAGGAGGATCTCTATGAGTTTGAGGCCAGTCTTGTTTACATAGCTATTTCCAGGTCAGCTGGGATTACATACTGAGACTTTGTCTCAATAAACAAGTAAGATAAAAAACAAATTAGGCCTGTCAGATAAAAACGAGCCAGGGGGAATATACCAAGAGTAACTAGGAATGATAAAAGCATGGTACCTGTGTGGTCTGGATGATGGTCAAGTCATTCATTCGAGAAATCCCTGCTCCCATAGGTGAGCGGAGGCCAGCCGTCCCAAACTCCATCCGGGCCCCAAAGCATTTTTGAAGTTCTTCTTTATTACCTTCAGCAATGAGCTGTTTCACTGACTCTAAAGTTAAAGGATTCTGCAAAACAGAAATGGATGTACTAGACACAGCAAGATTAATGAGAGTATAGAACATTTTTAATGTAAAACCCCCCACAGTAATTCTAACCTCTAGGTAGAACTCATACGCGTAAAAACTTTTCAATTTTCAGGTGCTTTTGAAATCTTAGAGTTGACATTGTAATGTATTATTATTTTTTTTTTCCTACCAAGGCAAGACCATTTGGAGAAAAAGAATGAGGTGATGTTTGAGAAGATGTCTAATACCCACAAGGAGATCCCAGGCCCACTGTTTATCAACTCTGTGTGCTGGGGCAGGCTATATAGCTTCTTGAATACTTAGTTTTCCCATCTGTAAAGGGAGAACAATCTAGAACCTCCCTTGTACAGGCTTTTCAAAGCTTTAAATTAGTATAATATCTCTTTCTCTGCCTAACAGTTGTGAATAGATGTTCATTTCTTTCCCTAAGGCCCTCGAACTTTCCCAGCATGGCAGGTCAGACCATTTAAATCAAAACTTTCCTTTTGGAATGCTTTACAGTTTTTACAAGGTGTTGCCCTCATAACTGGTCATGTTTGAGTGTTTCCATGGCTCCAAGAGGTGAGCCGACAAGCTGCAGGGCTTTTGAGGTGTTTTATTCTACAGAAATTATATGACTTGCTTAAACTGCATGTTAAGCCTTCACTTGGTACCTTTTCTATTACATTAATTGCTTCAAATAGACACTAGCATGAGTCATTTCAGTTTAACATACATTGCCCTGTTTTCTTGGCATAACAATTGTAGGAGATGTTAAGATTGGAGAAGCATGATGATGATCACATTAACTCCATATCAGAGTTTTTAATGAAGAGTTCAAGGAGTCCCAGAGTAAGCACTTACTTTATACCAGTTATCATCTACTTGGAAGAACACTCAGGCCAGATATGGCCACATAATTAAACTTTAAATGTGGTTGCAATAAAACTTCGGCTTCCTGGAATTCAACAGGAAGCTGAAACAATCTTTTCATTAAAAACAATAGACTCTAATCACAGAGAACACTCTTGCTCATTAAGTACCCTCAAGGAAGGGCTCAGATCTGATATGTAAAAGAAGCTCAAAAAATATCTGTTGAGTGGATGAGAAAACACAGACTTCCGGGTTAACCCAGTATCCAGCTCTGCTTTGATTCTTAGTGGGAATTTCAATCCTAATCGGCCTTGGATATGGGTAAAAGACCTTGCAGCATGAGAGAAGCAAAGCAGATACAGAGTTATTTAAGAGTCAAGAGGGCAGCAGAGATGAGGGTCAGCCCTGGGGGTGACAGAAACGGACAGAGGGAAGCACAGGGCTGAGGGCACAGTGAGGGTGCAGAAGGCACCAGCAGGGGCCTTGCCAGTCAGGCTTGCTGTACAAACAGGAAGACAGAAGCTTGGATCCCTAGGGCCCACTAAAAAGCCTAGCTCAGCACAATTCATCTGTAACCCTGGTGCTGAGGGTGCAGAGAGAGGTGAATCCCTGGAACTAGCTGTTTGACCAGTCTGGCCATCTGTGAACTCCAGGTTCAAAGAGAGGCACTGTCTCAAAATGTAATGTGGAGAGTGACTGAGGAAGATACCAGATGTCAGCCTCTGGCCTCCACATGAATATGCCATACAGGTCTACATACATCTGCAATTATCCACATGAACATGTACACAGGGCTTGCAAGCACGCATGCCACCCCTGAGAAGGGAAAGAGGAGAGGACATCCCCTAACAACAACAAAAAGGATGAGTTCCCTCTGCCTCTACATAGGGAGGTAGTCCTATAATTACTATAGTCTATAGTAATTATGTTTTTTCATTTTTTTTCTTTTTTCCTTTAAAGGGAAAGTTTTATGAAATGTGATTATTAATCCTGAGTACCAAATTGATGGGATTGAGACATGCCTAGGACACCAGCGATGCACACTTCTGGGGGTGTCTGAAACGCACATCATGGGGGCTCTGAGGGAATAAAAGGCTCACTCCTTTGATGGATTCATAATAAGATGGCATTATGTGGAGATTTCAAAAGGCAGGAGCTGGGGGCTAATTGGAGGATATGATTTTCTGGGGACATGTCCTTGCCCTGGCCCCCTTCCTGTTTCCCTTTTCTCTGCTTCTTAGTCACCCTGCTGTGAACTGCTCTGCCACACTCTTCCCCACCATGAGGGATAAAACCTTCTGAAACCCGAGCAAAATAGTTTTTTCCCCTTTCTTTTAGTTTGTATCAGGTGTTTGGTCAAAGTGATACATTAGCCTGATTAATACACAGAACAAGGCTTCAATAACTGGCTTTGAGGATTCTACACCATGTAAGTTACTACTTAATCAGAAGTGGAAACATTTTTTCCTCCCTTAGGCATCAAGAGGTTAACTTTCCTGGAAAATAAAAACCACCCAAGGAGTTGGCATTAGCATCCAGGAAACCAGCGGGGCTGACGTTTTAGTCTTCTGGGGGTGGAGTGGTGAGTGTAAACAAAAACCTGGCTCCTCCTGAGGCCTTGTGGCTCTGTCCAGTCAACAAACTGTTTCCAGGCCCTACTATGCGCCAGGCGCTGTAAACCACCGCAGTGAGGGCAGACAGCACCAGCTACATCGGTTTTTAGAGGCCAGAGCAAAATGAAACCTGTTCATTCAACAACGAAGAACTTGAAGACAGGACATTAAACTAGGAGTTCTGGCCACCTGCAGGGGTCTCACCCCCTGAAGTCAGTCCGGTACACTCACAGACATTAAACAAATCTATAACGGAGTGCTGTATCCCCCGCCCCCCCCGCCCCGCCCCATTTTCCAGGGAAGACCAGGCTGTTTAGAGACTATTAGTTACACTTGTGAGCTGGGGAAGGCTTTTGTAGGAAAGACACTAAGTTTAGACCATACGCAGGAGTAACAAGAGAAACCAAGTCAGCTGAGGGAAACAGTCTGGGGAACATCAGGGCACTGGGAGGCACAGGTCGGAAAGAACGTGGAGAGGGCAGAGGAAGCGATATCCAGAACAGGCTCCCAGCTGCTTAACAGTAAGAAAGTTAACGGGGAGAGGCACAGCTGAGACCAAGCTTCTCAGGGACTGGAGTGTCCGCCCTGTGGAAAACTCCTGGGCGGGCCAGGCCCACCAGGGAGGACCGATTAGTAACCAAGCCCTAGGGAAGGGTAGATTGAATGGCTGCAGAGGTTCCAGGCCACTGGAGAAGGAGGGACTGCACGATTCTAAATGGATGGAGATGCGCAGCCCACCGCAGAAGAAGAGCCCGAGGTCTGAAGCGCAGAACCGCTTTGGTGCCTCAACTACCCGGGGTCCCGCCGCGCCCAGCCCAGCCCAGCTCGCTCCTCTACCCGACCTAGCAGTCCGAGCAGGCCTGCTGGCTGGCTTTGTCCCGGGACTGCCTTTCCGGACTAAACTTGGAAAGGGCTACAGATCTGCCGGCCACCGGGGAAGACCTGGTCGCCGCCACCTCCTGATGGGTTCTGCGTGGGACCCGTGCGGGTCGGCAAGGGAGGAGGACGCTGGGATCCCGGGGACCCGGAGAGCCACCCCGCCGGGCCTGGGGAGGACGTAGAGGAGTCCGCGATCCGCGCTCACCCGGTCCCATCGCAGCCACTGCGCGGTCTCCTGGTCCAGCCGAGCGTCCATGCCCGAGCCGTTGCCTCCCGGAGCCCGGGTCTCCGCAGCCACCGCCGCTGTCATCGCGCAGCGGCCACCGCCGAGGGGAGGAGGCAAGATCACTCTTCCGGCGGGGCGGGGACGGGGCGGGGACAGCTGGGGTGCAGGCAGGAAGGCCACACCGCCCGCCTCTGGCACTTGCAGTTTGCAGGTGTGGCTCCGGGGACTACGACCTGCACCACCTGGGCTGGTGACAGCTGGAGCGAGACAACGGCCTTGTCCCCAGGTTCTTCATGCGCGCATCTCGTGTGTGCGTTCAGTTTCTCTTATCTGGCACTCATCAGAGGCTGGGGTACAGGGGTAGAGTACACGCCACTGAGAGCCTAACGTTGAGGAGGAATTCGTGAAGAAAAAAATAAATCTTAAAAAGGATGAACCAAGTGGGAGGAATAAATCGGATAGAAAGGCGAAGCAGAAGGCGGAGTCCAGAAACCAGACCGCACTGACAAAGACAGTTTATGCCAGAGGGGCGCCGAAGAGCACCCGGAAGGGCGAGTTGTAATTTCAGGGTGCTAGATTTCCACAGAAGAAAATGTAAAAAGAAACTCATCCGCCTCACATCATCCCACACAAATGTGAATCCCAGGTTTCTGACAGCATCATTCATAAAATATCCAACTGGACACATCCAAATGTCCCACAGTAGTCTGGATAAATACAGTGCTATATTTATACCAAATCATATAAATAGATTATGGTATATTTACACAGCAATGAAAGTGGATTACCATGTACACAGCCCCATGGATGAATCCTGCAAACATTAAGTAAAAGAAGCCAGACCTGCCATGGCTGACAGATACTCAGGTGTCAGACTTATACGAACTTCTTGAATAGGAACAGTACACTTCAGGAAAGGAAGAAATGGTTTCTAGATAGTTTCAGAGCTAGGAGTGGGGTACAGGCCCTGGTGGGTTGGGGTGATAGGAACACTCTTCATTGAGACTGTGGTTGCCTGAATCCAGGCTCTGAGCAAAACTCAGTTGTGCCCTTGAAAGGGTAAATGTCACTGGTTGTAAATTATGTTTCAATTAAAATGTTTTATTACATGTATTTATTTTGTGGGGCTAAGGGGGTGGTGCATGCCACACTGATGTGTGGAGGTACTCTTCCATCATTTGGGTCCTGGGGACTGAATTCAGGTCCTTAGGCTTGGTGGCAAGTGCCTTTCCCACTGAGCTCTCACTGGCTTATATCTCAATTTTTAAAACTCTTAATATAAAAACTCAAGGGAGTTAAATCCATGGACATTGGGAGAGTGGTTCCATTTGGGAAAGAGGGATTCTGGGCCTGTTTTGTTTATTTATTTTTCCTTTAGTATTGGGGATTGAACCCAGGGCTTTGCTCACACTAACCAAGCACTTCACCACTGAGCTACATCTCCCAGTTCCATCCCCCACCCCTACCTTTGTTTTGTGTGTATGGGGGGTGTTTGTTTATTTTGAGACAGAGTCTCTGAAAGTTGTCTAAACTAGCCTTGAGCCAGCTACATTTGCAGCTAAGACTGACATTGAACTTATGATCCTTCTGCTTCAACCTCCTGGAATAGCTGACCTTACGGACATACGCCACGACCCCAGGCTTGCACCTGTTCTTGACTTGAGTGAGGCCACATAGGTGTGCTCTCATGTACTATTAATAGTGCACTGAGCCACAGTCTTTTTATCTGTAGGTTGATTGAGTTGGAGGGCAGGTGGTTGATTTTTTTGTATTTTGAAACAGGGTCTCATGTAATCCAGGCTGGCATTCAACTTGATATGTAGCCAAGGATCCCCCAAGTGCTAGGATTACAGGCATGTACCATCATACACAGCTATGATCTTAAGAATTGTGCATTTTCTATGTGTTCTACTTCAATATTAAACAAAAACACACACCAGGATGTGTGATATCTGTACCCAGAAGCTAGTAATTATAAACTGATAGTGAAGCTGAGAAAGAAGCAACAGAGCTCCCTCTGGGTGCAGATCAACAAAGACAGCCCAGTCCTTGGAAGCATCTCTGAACACTTGCAGCTTACCTAGACACAGGTAGGGAGGATGTGGCTGACCTGGGTGTGGCCATTTTGCAAAAGCTTTGCAGACAATGCCATCCTGTTTTGTAAAATTGAAACCACAAAGGACAAGTCGAGCCCTCGAGTTGCAAAAGCAAGAGGCTTTTATTTTACACAGGTACCTGTGGGCACAGCTCCTGCTTATTTATCATTAAGCCAGATGTTTCAACCATAAACTTACTTATCAGTGAGTTGGAGATGTCTCAGCCTTGAAACTCACTCATTAGCGAGTTGCAGATGTTTCGGCCATGAAGCTTACTTATCGGCAAGTTGGAATTCTTGACCAGCACATGACCTGCCTGAGACGTGACTTGTCTGAGAGGCTTCATGGCTCCTGACTTTTATATTTTTCAGTTTCTTCTCCCAAAAGCTTGGAAATGGGAGCAGACAGGGAGAGAAGAAAAGAAGGATATGTCTTAGCCAGGTTTCTGTGGCTATAGCTGAATGCCACAGACTGTATATTTTATAAAGAGTGGGAGTATCTTGAGCTAATGGATCTGGAGACTGGAAAGTCCAATATCAAGGTGCATTTGACTTTGAAGATTCTGTTTCCAACACATGAGCTTTGGGGGAACACAATGAAAGCATAGCAAATAAGCAACCTTGGTTTCCCTATCTGTTAGGTCATCTGCTATCACCCTTTTGTGCACCAGCCCAACCCTCTTCTCATCCACACTATGATAAAAGTTTAGGGCACAGAGACTCAGAGACCAGGCAGGGCTCACACACCCTCATCTTACATTCACGTGCAATGGCACAGTGCTCTCTAAGTTTATGTACTTTGCTGCCTTCTGCTAAGACTGGGATGGGTGTCTTCCAAAGGATGAAAGGTCCAGGCCTCAGAGTTGATACCAGTCCCTCCATGGTGGATAGTGTGACTGCAGCTGAATCTCTTCTGGTTCAAAACATGGAGAGGGGCAGGAAGGAGGGTATTTGTGACACCACTTATTAAAAGATGAATTGTAGGCCCAGGATGATATCTACCTGTAGATGCTCTAACTTCAGATAGATCTGGAGGTAGTTTTCTCCCCTTTATAGACCCAGGAAAATAAGGCACACAATATTTTGAAGCAGAGAGGAACTTTAAACAAGGACATTGACAAATCATAAGTTCTCGTGCCAAAGGGGTCCACGTTCTTAGACACTGTGCTGAAAAGTAGCACATAGTTGACATAATCTATCAGTCCTACCTGCTTCCCATGTGAAGGAGAAAAGTCTCTTGGGTTATGTTGGGGGTCTTGGCATGAAGACCTTCTTGGAGTGTCCTATAGCAAAGATACCAACATTGAGGTCTTTTTGTCCTGTGATCCCACAGTTACTGGAAGCTGCTGATTTCCCACACTTAACCCTGTAATGATCATTGCACATCTGGAGATGCCCATGTTCAATAGTTGATTAGACTAAGAAGAGCTCTTAGGGATGAACTCTAACTTCCTGTATCATGGATAAGGAAATGAGAAACAGGAAATTTATGAGCCTGTCTCTAAGACCCATGGCAAGTTAATGACAGAGCCTGGATTCTCACCCTGGGTCTCCTGGTTTCCTGAGCTGATGTTCAGCCCCATGTTCTGTTCAGTCCACTTCAATACATGTCCACAGAAGGAAGGAAGTTCCATGAACTCCAGGAGCCTGTTTGTATGTGACTGTAGTTGGCACACTTCATGAAAAACAAATATTAACCCCCTCTGGCATTGACAGCATGAGGTGATGCTCTGAATAATGTCATTTGTTCGTCATGCTCTCTGGCTGCCTAAGAACCGTTTCTTATATAAATGTTCCTTGGAATAGTCTAGCACACCCTTGAAAGTGTCCTGACACATCCCAACACTTAGTAATCAATTCTTCAGCCTGACGGCTTCCAACCCAGGCACTATTCTAAAGCTCTTTACTATGGAGAGTATTCAATATTTGCTAATCTTGATCCCCAGGTACCTATCATGTAGGCACGTAAGGATCAATTCATGACCAATCTTGTCTCCTACTGCCCCCTCCTGAATTACTCTGAAGAAGATTCCAGACATTGTATCATTTTTGTCTACAGATACCGTGGCATGTGTCTCTGAAATGTAAGGACATTTTGAAAATAAACATAAAACCATGATTCCACTTAAAAATTTTAAAATTAAAGTTACTATTCCCTATTATTAGCAAATGTCCATTTAGTGTTAAAATTTCCAAATATTGGGGCTGGAGAGATGGCTCGATGATTAAGAACACTGGCTGTTCTTGCAGAGGTCCCTGGTTCAGTTCCCAGCACCTACATGGTGGTTAACAACTGTCTGGAGCTCCAGTTCCAGGGGATCCAATATGCTCTCTGACTCCCCCTTCCCCCCACCACACACACATAGACACACACATAGCTTCGGCGTGGAGTAGACTATAACTGTGTAAGTTGTGTAAGAAAATGCGGCAATGTTTACCATGGTGAAATCACTTCAGCACACATTTCTCAACAGAACGCTTCATCACTGAGCAATGCCTGGCTGTGACCTATGAACCTAGGGAACAATAGCAGATAGGAAACAAAGCAGGAAGTGGTCTGAGTATTTGTCATGTTTTTAATATGACATATACTTGTAGGTTAACATAATTTAACTTAAATTAGCTGGGCCTGGTGGTGCACACCTTTAATCCCAGCACTTGGGAGGCAGAGGCAGGTGGATCTTTGTGATTTCAAGGCCAGCCTGGTCTACATAGTGAGTTCCAGGACAGCTGGGGCTACAGGGAGACTCTGTCTCAAAAAGATAAAAAAAAATTAACTTAAATTAATAATCAAAAATACTTTTCTACCTCCTGAGTGCCCAGTTTATAGGGTTTTGGGGTTCAAACACAGGCCTCTTACATACTGAGCAAGCACTCTACCAGCTGAGGTGCATGCCCAGCTGGTGATTTTAAGATAGTATCTTACTGTATAGCTCAAGCCGGCCTTGAACTCATGCAATTATCCCACCTCCACCTCCTGAGTGCTGTGATTACTGTCCTATGCCACCACACCT